TTTAAATATCTAAAATAAAACCAAGTTATTTAGCAACTTGCTCAGAATGAAAATGACGAACACTCGTCGATGTATCGTCCTCCATAGAAATAAATAAACACAACAAACTATTTCAGATGTATATTATTTTCTAATAACAAAAAATAAAATATAAAATTATAATTTTTTTTATAAATATTTTCATTAAAAATTATAATAAAAGAAAATTTTTTCGAAAAATTTTATTATGTTTTTTTTTTTCTCCCATTGAAATACAAAATGAATAAAGATCAAGAATATATTCAAATGGTAGATAAACCAATGAAAATTGTTTTGTGTTCGATTGAATGTTTTATGCCAAATGAATGACAAATATGGCACAAAAAATTGAAACAGTCATGTTTGAATCTGTAACAGCTAAAACTAAAAATTTACCATCATTTATTAAACAACAACGTCCAAAACGAGAATGTCGTTCACGTAAACGTCCATATGATATTGAACAATATTCAACAAAACGTCTTAAATATGATCAAATTGATATTGATGAACAATATGATAGTCCTTGTACATTTGGTTTAACACTATCGGACACAGATGATGATAATGATACAGAGTCAAAATGTTCAACAAGTGATGATACAGAACAATCATTGATAAAACAATTTGATAATAATAGTGATGTTGAAGAAAACGACGATGAAATAGCAAATATATATTATTCTAAAATATCATCGGATCAACATCGTCATATTCCAGTTGTTCTAAATCAAACAATTCAACAACAACCACAGACATTAAGTCGATATTCAAAAAGATTAATATCACAATTTAAATATTTATATGATCAAGGTTTAAGAAAAGGAATTCAACCAACAAATTCTTGTGAATTTTTTTAATAATGAAAATAATGATATTTATCTTGAAAAATTACGTTGGGAATTACGTAATACATTTAATAGAATTGATCTTTTTAAAGAAGGTTATTGTGTTTTATCAAATGAACCATTTGCATTCTATTCACTTTCTTATATGGTAAACATTTTATTTATTTTTTTTTTATAAATTAAACAGGATGAATCAAACACTAAACATTTAAAAAAAACTACTTTTGACTGAAATAAAAATTGTAGCTTTAAACAAGTTATGAAAAACCGCATTGCAGTTTTCTCAGTAGATCTTCGTTAGATAACATTTGTTTAGTTTGTTATATTGAGTTTCGATTATAAATGACTAGACTTTATTAATCAACTATGAATAAGTTTTACAATGAAATTGATAATTTCATTTGTTTACTCTCTACGCTATGACAAATTGCATATTTTATGTACATTATTTTTAAGCAAACATTGACATTCCCTACTTCATTAAAGAGTTAAATATGTTTCACAAGAAAAATGATTTTTTTTATTTGTTATTTCGTTTTTTTTTTGTCTCTGTATAAAACTAAGAATTTGAATAGAATGATGACGGATCGCATAGAAGTTTGGATTGTCAAATGAGCGATTTTCGACCCTTGTTTTATGAATATCTATCGAAAAAGTTAATGAGAAACGGTGAAAATTTTATGTGATTTGAGTATACCTTGCCTGAAATCGATTTTTTAGTCATGGTACGGTTGTCAAATTTATATTTTATACATTCATAGTTTTTCAATCACGATAACATCTGTTCACCTTCCTGATAATTCGTTTTCATTAAAAGCGAAGTTTTTTAAATAAAACAATATCACTTTTCACTTCTGTGATCTATTGCCAAGTACAACAAATTGCT